GTGTTTTCTTTGTATGTCCACTTCACCACTCCCTAACCAAGTAGCCCTTCAGGGCTTCACTGTACACAATTGCATTTTTGAAAAAAATTGTACTGGTTTACACAACACTGAGATAAAGACTCACCCCTCTCCTCCCCTCCCCCTAATAACACACATGGCTGACTGGGTCATGGCATGAAGTTGGGCAACACCTTCCCCAAGAAGTTCTTGGTATTCCCTGAGCATGCTCAAGGAACTTATTAGCTGCCAGGAAATATTAAAGGGTCCTCAAATAGCTGCCCAGTGAATGTCCTGGTAGGCCTGAAGCCCAACAGCAGAACAAAAACATGACTGAATGTGGTGGAGCAATGGGCCTGTGATTTGGAGAAGCAAAGTTTCCAAAGAATTTGGAACCGGATATTGCCCAACCAAAGCCCTCCTATATGAGCTACTCACTCTGCCTAAGTGGCAGGGGGCAAAGGAGAGACTCTATTGCTGAAGTCTGAAAACTCCACTGTGCAAAGTATCTTTGAGAGCTGGTCAAAGAGAGAGGCACCTTCCAAGTAACCTGGGGATGAAGAGCTCCAGAGCCCAACACTCCATCTGGAAACATCTGCAGCATCCCTGGTTGGCTGATAACCAGTCGAGCCCAGGAAGGTCAGAGTTGCTGGTTGAAGGCTCTGAAGACATTTGGCCCTAAACACATACTACCTAGAGTGACCCCAGAACACCAGGGAACACTTAAGTTGTTTAAATAAAAATTGAGGTAAGGTCTAAATATATTTGGAGAGAGAAACTGTATGTAAAAAAACATCATACCTGACAAGTACAGACAGGTTTTGAGCACTGAAATTTGGGGTATGACTAAAAATCTGATTTGATTTCATAGCCACAGGTGAGTAAGATCTGGACCTTCTACTTGCAAAAACTGAAGTCCTCATTAAATTGTAATACACTCCTTTGGGCACCCATCAGAAGTTCATTTTATTCATGCACCCCAGTTCATAATTTCTTTACCAGAGGGAGTTTGTACAACAAACTCCAAACACAAGCTTCAGATGGAAAACTCTTCGCCCTCCCTTCATGTATGTTCCCCAGCTTCTCTATCTGTAAGTTACCTAATGGGTTGAGCGTTCACAGTCCACACAGCTCTGGAAAGGGTAAGGTCACACTCAGGTCAGATGCAGAGCAATGTCAAGGCAGAGCACCCAGCCAACACACTTCCTAGGAGAAGCCACCTCCTTTTAATCCCCCAGTGTATGGCCCATTTGAATAGATGTCTTAATAATAATAAGATTCCTTAGATCTTTTTACCTTGCACTGATGCTATTTGGGAACACAAACCATTCTTTTGCTTCTACTATATGTTTCTTGAAAGCACTATCCTTCTTACCACATGTTTTTAAACTCTAGTACTGTTAGGATAAGTGGTAGAGACTGAATGAATGATTTGGAGCAGCAATGCTCTATCACCAGAGGTCCCAATGACAGAGTGACACCACCTATTTATGTTACAGGGAGTAAAAGTCACAGATTTTTACTTTTCCAAGTGAAAAGTTCTTGGCTTATGCTGAAAAATTACTTGAAGGACAAGGTAATTCAATATACTCTTTCTGTGGTCAATTTCAGCACTTCACCCCATTTAAGATTTCACATTAAAAAAAACAACATAAAAATAACTAATCTAAAGAATGCCATAATAGGATTGGCCAGGGCCCATGAATCCCTAGAAATGTTCTCACAAAGTCATTGCAGAAACTCAATGTTGTGTGTCTAAGTGGTCTCCTGAGTGAAAACATAGTTCCCTCTTAGGAGATGTGACTTGGAGCATGAATGGAGTTTTAGCATGGGTTAGAGAAGTAGGCATTAAGAAATAAGTAGTTTCAGCTGATTGATTCCTGGGCCCCCAGTACAGTACAATTTAGCTGCTGAATATCACATAATCCAGTGAAACTGCTCTAAGGTCACTGACAGCTTCATTTTAAATAAAATCAACAGCCCTCTTATAGTCCTTATTTCACAGTCTTTCTGCAGCTTTTGGCATTACCCATGCTCCTGCTCCAGTTTTCCAGGAGTTAATAGTTGTCTTTTGTTTGTTTGCTTGCTTGCTTAGATTTCTATGAACATACCCTTAATTCTTTCCGTGTATGTATAAGTAATTCAGTTCCAAATTCTCCTCTAGTTATATAAACTCCCTTGGTGTATTACCTTCCTAACAATTTTACTGCTTTGAAGACCCATCTATGAATAGATCTGTGTTCTTCATGGTTGGCATCCCAATGAGTAGCCTACAGAAGCCCTGATATTAGTCCCTTCAGAGTCTCCTATGTGGGTTGGTCATATTTCAGAAAAGATTCTCCCCATCTCTTTCCTGGAGGACTGGTTGGAGATGGTTGTCATCTCCATCAGAAGATATGGCTGTCAAAATTCTGAGAGCCTGATGGGAGATGAAGAGTGGAAATATCTCACTCTCAGTATGTGAACGTTGGCTAACCCACATTCGTTTCAATATGATCTCCCCATACTCAACTCTATATGCCATCTATTTTATCTCCTTAAGAAAAAAAAAACCCTTGTCAGTAGAAGTGGGAAGTCATCTTTTTATACAGATGGGTAAATCATTTGGAGATACAGCTCTTTTAAAAATAATTTGAGGGGCCTCCCTGGTGGCGCAGGCGGTTGAGCGCAGCACTGTGAAGCTGTCCGTAGCCTCTGCAGTGCCAGTTCGATCCCCACCGGCCTCGGAGCAACCCACATGGCGAGCAGACCTCTCCTGTCTCACCCGCTGCTCCCCTCAGCAGTGTATTTTGTCAGTCTGCCTGTTCTGTTCCCCACTCTGTCTCTAGTGAATGCTCTCACCCTCCTGCACATCTGGCCTGTACCCCAGTTCTTGTATAAATAAATAAATCTTTTTAAAAAATAATAATTTGAACCTATTCTCCTGGTTTAGCTCCTCCTTTACCTATACTTCCAGAGTTTCCTTGGCCTCTGATTCCTAAGATTTTGAAAGGCAATCTCTGGTTCAAATCAGCTTCCTATTTAGTTTTCCACAGAGTTTACTTAAGAATTAGAATTCTACTTTCTCTAGGCTAAATCAATTGTCACTCTACCATCTGTTACCTGACTTCTAAAATTTCATTACTATAGTCTTTCTCCTGTTCTATTTATTCTTTTGGTCTATGTATTTATATAAATCCATTATCATTATCATGCCTTTAACAGAGTTTTGGCAAGAAGGCGATAGAATGTATATGTTCAATTTATCTTCTTTAAATAACCCCACCCCCAATTGCAAATGCACTCTTCTTGAGTTCATTAACTGGACTATTCTCATTCCTTCTTTCTCCACTCTCTCCTCTCTCTCTCTCTCTCTCTCTCTCTCTCTCTCTCTCTCTCTCTCATGCACTATCACACACACACACCCCTTTATGTTACTCTCCCTGACGATGTTGATTCTTATAACCTCTTCCCTCTGCCACATGTGACTAAGGAACTCCTTCTCATCCTCCCCCAAGACACTTCAGCCCTCTGTGTAATCCCACAGCAGCACTACCACACACTTTTCTTCCCAGATAATAATTGTCTATTTACTTTTCTGTCTTGCTCATTGGGTTGTAAAGACACGCTTACAGTTCACTCATAGGCTTTCTTCCTTAAGGGGTGCCTCTGACAAAAGGAGAATTGTTTTAGCTAAGTGGGAAATGCCAAACTATGTGAGATGCTCCCCTGTGGCAGTGCTGCTGACCAAGAGTAGGCTTCAATCCAAACCATTAAAAAATTATTATTATTATTGCTGTTATTATTGTTGCTCTTATAATAAAAGACTCTCTCCTAGACCAGTGCTCAAAGTTATAACAGAAATTAACTGTCCAGGAAATTGAGTATAGCTCTTTGTAGTTAAAGCACTTTAGCCCTCATCAATTAATTATGATAATTTGCCATCATTAGTGAGCTAATTAAATTTGAAACTGAACCTCCAGAGGAGAAAGTCCAATTTGGAAAAATCACTCCAGGCAGATGTCCATAGGTCCCACTCCTTATTTCTTGAACTTCCACGAAAAAAACAGTAGACTCCGAGCTGGAACTGGGTCAATCCATGACCCCAGAGGGTCCTCATCATTATGCAGTCCAAGCCCAGTGCCTCTTCCTACAGAGCTTTGACAGCAAACAGACTTGAGAGTGTCTTCCCAAGTGACACACTCATCAGAATCGCAACATTCTTATTTTCAGGCAGAAACAAGAGGCTGTATCTAAAACAAACACACAAAATGCAGAGTTTCTGGCAACATAAAGGGGAGTACAATGGTGAGATGATAAGCCAAGCAAGTCTTACAGAGTTTGAGGATTGCTTTAAAAGTGGCCTTGTTGGTAGAAGTGGGGAGCATGGAAACAGTGGAATGGAAGAAAGACCTTTACAGACTTCTTGGGAACTTGATTCTCACAATACAGTTTAGTCAGACTCCCAGACTTGCTGCTCTTCCATATATCAAAGACATAACCATTCACTTGAACTTCATGCAGCACTCCACTTCTCAATGCAAAGGGAGAGAGGAAATTATCTGGTGTGTATCATATTTCCATATATGCAGGATAACTGCTGGAACAACCTCGTGGAAATTAGCCTCACAAACAGTGTGATGAACCCCCTCTGCTTTTCATGAGATGTTGCTCTCATATTCCATTAAGGAATTCTTCTACCCCAAATTATAACCAATCTGGCTTTTTCTTAAGTGTCCTTAAGAGAAAGAAGAAGTACAAATATCTTCAGGTAAAGTGATTTTCCTGGAAACATTGAAAGACCTTAAAGCATTCTCATGCAGATTATTTATGATGGTGCCTGATTATAATGCTATTATTAGTAGGTATTGTATAATATTAATAAAAATAACCATAATGATAGCAACATTTTCAGGTGTTTTCACAGTTTATGTTAGAACTTCCACCTTGTGAAATAGGTGTTTTATTATCTCCATTTTTTTTTAATAGGGAAAAGGGTTTTTGTAAAGAAGTGACTGACTTACCCAACACAAAGCTAGCTGGTGATATAGCTGAGGATTTCAATCCTGGTCATTGGATGACAGATTTGACCTGGCACATGATACTCTGGGCTGCAAAGAAAAGAAACCCCTCAGTTAAAACTCCAAAGGAATAGCAGTGCTGAGTTTGGTTGAGTTGGTGCCTCGATGATATCACCATTGAGAATCACGACATTCCATTTTTCTTCTCTACTATCCTCCTGTGTCAAATGTTTTCCTCTCATGAGTCTAAGATGTTGTCACAGTTTTAGGCCTCAACTGTATTAGACAACGTTCAGAAGCAGAAAAGGGACAATCTCTGTAATATGTCCCCTTATAAAAACAGAGGCAACTTCTCCTCATATCTCATTGGCCACAATTTCATCATATCCCCAACCTTTACAACCTCTTGCCAAGTGACACCATCTTGATTAAATTAGCCCAGTCAAGAGCCTGGGAAAAGGACCAGGCACTGCTGAAGAACATGGATTCTTAGAGAAAGATACATAAAATTTGTCAGCAAAGAAGAAAAGGGAAACACTCTTGGATTGAAAATCAACAACCACTGTCACTCCCACCAATATGGCAGACTATTTAATATCTAAAACATTTTGCTGTCAAATAATGAAACAAAGTATCCAGTAATTCTACATTGATATGAAAGTTTAGTGGAGGGCCTCCCTGGTGGCACAAGGGTTTAAGATGCAACCTATGGAGTTACTGGCAGCCACTATAGCATAAGTTCGATCCCCGGGCAGGGAGCTACCCACATGGCGCAGCAGACCTCTCCTGTCTCGCCTACTGCTCCCCTCAGCAGTATATTTCGTCAGACTGCCTGTTCTGTTCCCCGCTCTGTCTCTGGTGAATCCTCTTACCTCTGGCCTGTACCCCAGTTCTTGTATGCATAAATAAATAAATCTTTTAAAAAAGAAAAAGAAAAAGAAAGGTTAATGGAGTAAGAGAGAAAAGTCAAAGTCCAATATGATGAAATGTGTTTGTACTAGGTACAGAACAATGTAGAAGGAACTTGAGAGTCAGGAAGTAAAGGGACCTGAGTTCTAATCCAACTCTAACTAGCTGGATGGTCTTCACTTGCCAAATCTCTACTTCTTCCTTTTTTATATGAGACAACAGCTACTGCCTCTATCTACCTTACAGAACTTTCCTTAACATAAATGCCTTACTAAATCGTTATTTCTATTAAACTGAAGTGATTCTCCAATTAATTAGAAAAGGAAGATTTCTGGTTTTGAAGGCACTTTGAGTGTTCATCTAACAAGTTCTTCCCTACACTTTCCTTCTCCACACTTCTCAGACAAACCTGGGATATGTGTTCTGGATGCTCCTCTACTCGCTCCTGGCTCTAAACCAAGGACAAGGATGTTTATCCGTCACATTCAAGTGTTCTTCAGAAAGCACCATACCATACACACGTGAACCCATTGCCTGCTTGCACTTCAGAGAAATTGTGTGATGAGGGAGTGGGTATCAAGGAACCTAATGACAATCTATCCTCCAAATAAAGCCTGAGAGACTCAGAGGGACGTGTAGGAGAGGTAACAGTCCTCAGCCCCTTTGGTTGCTTTGTAAAATGAGGAATGCTTAAACAAAGCTTAGACTTCTCTCAAGATTCCTGGCTTTCTTTCTCTATTGCTCTTCCCTATCTCTGGTCACATCCTGCAAACTGAAATCTGTTTCCTGATTTTTTTTTTCCCTCTACCATCTTGTACTTACTGTGTCGAACTTCACTTCTAGATCCATCCTATTGATGTGCCCATACCACTGAATTTGTTCTTATTTACTATGGAAGTTCATCATTGAACCATTGAACTGAAATGTTCATTTCCATATTTCAGAAAGTTTATAGTTGATTGCCTGTAAACAGAATATCATAAAACTATGTTCCATTGGGCTAAAAGAGACACAGGGATCATCTATATCCTTGCTACTCAAATGTTGTCTGCAGACAAGCAACATTAGCATTATCTAAAAGCATATTAGAAATAAAGACTCTCAAGTCAGTCCAAGACTTACCAAACCAGAATCCTCATTAAACAAGATTCTTATGTGATTCAAATGTGTATTAAAGTTTGAGAAGTACTGATCTGTATCAACCACCTCATTTCACAGAGAGGTTAAATGTCATCTGTTAAGGTGTTACAGCAACTTAGTGTCTGAACTAGAAACACATTGCCTTTTAAAACTATGGATTCACTTTTATACTTAGCTAGTTTATCCAGCTTTCATTTCCACTTAGGATAATAGATATTGACATAAAGGATGCTAATATTTGACTTTCAAATGCCCTTCTAATATCCACTACTATCTATTATAATATTTTGATAACATTACTTTGTAGTTTTCTGTAGAGTTCTTATTTTTACTTCTTGATTTAATTAATTTGCCAGGGCCTGATCTTGTCCAATTAATGACATGAGTAAGGCTTCTCATTATGTCTTTTTTTTTTTTTTTTTTTTTTTTCTCATTATGTCTTTTCACTCATCTCTCCTTTTCCCATCCTCTTTTCAGAAGCCACCAATGGACTGTGAACAAGTCTATCTACTAAAATTATATTTAGAATTCCTAAACTTATACCTGTAATTGTAAATCATCTTAAGTTTTCTTTTTATTTTATTTCTTGGTAAAGATCTTGAAATTAGTGTTATAATTGCTTTGAAAAATGAACTAGGGGGGTTTAGGTATTTTAGCTTATTTTTTCTCTATTGAGATAACATTGATTTACAACATTTTATATTATTTAGGGGAATAGTTTCACACCTTGAATTATGGAGTTTTATAATTGATATTAAAACCTGTGGATCACCTAAGTGAAGGATTTCTGGGTCATATGGTATGACTCATTTGTTTTTTGAACACTTTTACAAGATTGTTCTATTTGAAGGGTTATTACTACTTAAAATCTAAGGTACAATAATGTTTTCTTAGACATGATACACAGCCATGCTCATTCCTTTGAGATTTTTGGTTTCTCTTGAGCAGATTGGGGGTAGAAAGGTTGGAGGAGGGAGAATATACCCCTCAAGCCTTTCACCCCATCTCCTACTGCCCCCATCCTGATATGTAACACCCTATGTAGCTGTAACACTGTTTATCTACCCATTGCCTCCACCCATGACACCTCCATTAGCATTCTTCCAACTCCTTTTATCTTGTACTAAGCAATTAAAGAAATCAGACCCAAGGAGTCCTAGACTCCATTACAGCGCATTCTTGAGATTTTTCCATTTCAATGCCCTTAAAGTAGGGAGGGAGTGTTTGGACAGCTCACAGTCAGACTCAGGCCATCTGATAAGGTGACTCTAAGGTTATCCCCACTCCCAACCTGGAAATATGTGGTCACGATTCATGTCTCTGCAGCAAATGACAGGAGGAAGAATAGAGTCTGCCACTTATAAGCAAGTGTCCCTCCTGTCCTTGAACTCACACACTGCTTTTCCGGGTTCAGAATGGTCTCAACCTCAAGAAAAGCCTGCACTTTGAGGTTCCTGGGTAACTAAGAAAAACACCCCCACCCCCTCAGTTTACTTTGAGAAATCTTCATGATAGGAAGAAGCTAAGGAATATACAGGAAATCTGAAGAATCTTAAAACTTACTGTTCCAAGACAAATGTTTCCCTGTGCTGATTAACAGGTCAAGTAAACAACTGCTTCTGTAATGTGGTCTGAAAACATTAATCAACAAAAGGTCTGCCTGCCTCATACATTTCCCTCTCTCTGACCTGAAATTCTGCCACTAATTTTCTGATAGCAGGGCACTCTTTCCCCTTCTGTGTGCAGGGATGGAGGGGAGATGAGACAATGTTTTTAAATCTCTGTATTTCAGTTTGCCCAGAACTAACCTTACTCTGAATTTTTCACATATGTTCGGGAAGACAGAGGGGCCTCCCAGTGGATACTGAAGGCTCCGAGAAGAGGGATGGCAGGAAGAGAGCAGAAGCCACAGAAAGAAACATTTCCAAACTGAAATAAAAAAAAAAAAAAGAAGAAGAACCTCCCATTTTAATGCGGTGCTCTGTAAAAACCCAGGAAGAAACATTTTCAAACTGGAAAAAAAACTATTTTAACACAGCGCTCTGTAAAAATCCAGAAAGAAACAAAGCTTGCAGTTATCTCAGCCTCCTCCTGTTCCAAGAATTTCCTTCTCTTGATGAAGGATCTCTTCTCATCCAGTAATTGAGTGGGAGGATGAAAAGGTACAGGAGGAAAAAAAGAAAATTAGGAAACATCATCTATGGCAGCCTGAAAAGAGAGGTAACAGTTTATTTATGTACATGTTAATTTTATGCAAATAACTCCAAAATCTAAGTTGTTTTTACTATTTTCTGCATGTGAATCCATGGAGAAATCCTCCTACTATTCCTACATCAAAGAAGTGACAAAACAGTTTGAAAATTACAAGAGATGGGGGATATGGGCCCTTTAAGGCCTGGGCTGAAGCTACAGAGGGGTTTAATCTACTAATCTACACAGACAAATCCACAGGGGGTATGTTTATTCATCCATCCATTCATCTAACAAATATCAAGGAATCTACAGTATGGCCAGGTATTGACAGTACTATTCTTGCAGTCAAAACAGAAAATTATGATACAATGTGGTAAACTGTAGTGGTAAAGATCTGAGCTGGAATTGAGAAATGATGTCCAACTTAGAGAATTTTCTGGCAAAGTGGGATGTATGCGTATTAAGAAATAGCATGCATACATAGGGAACAAAGGAAATTTTTCTTGGTGGAGAATGAATTCTGAGGTGGATACCAGGAGATAAGACTGGAGGACTCAGCAGGGGCTGCTCATGAGGAAACTTGTACACTATGTTATAAAATGTGCACTTATTTATTTATGCATACAAGAGATGGGGTACAGGCCAGAGATGTGGGGGTGAGAGGATTCACCAGAGACAGAGTGGGGAACAGAATAGGCAGATTGACCGAAGTACACTGCTGAGGGGAGCAGCGGGAGAGTCAGGAGAGATCTGCTGCGCCATGTGGGTTGCTCCCAGACCAGCCAGGGATCAACCTAATGCTGCAGTGGCTGCGGATCGCTTCATAGTGTGGTACTTAACCCCTTGAG